ACAAATTTTTAATTATATCAACCTGTTTATATGATTATTAATACATGTATATAATGAAAAAAAATATATATAGTAAATTTTATATAAAAAATACAATAAAAAAACAAGGAATATAATCGTTTAAAAAATTAAAAATAAATGTTAAATCGCAGGATAAGCATAAATAGTAAGTAGTAAGCAATTATTCACGTTACATATGAAATAAAAAAATATTTTTAGTATAATCGAAATATTTTCTATCGAGTTGTTTGATTAAAAAAAGTCATCGTCGAGCTTTGTTGTCAGCAATTAGAATGATTAGAATCTGGGGTAAATGAAAGGTTAGTCAAATTTATCTAGCAGGAAATGTGTTTTCTTTTATTGAAATCATGCTTAATCATACGTATGTTAGTAAACAAAGCGCTTAAAGATATTAATAACCTTGGATGGGAAAGAACGAGTCACTCGCCCAGCATTCTTACTCGTTATCATTTTCTTCAAAGATAATAAAATCACACTGTTACAAAATTATTGTAATAATTATATAGTCACGTGACACCATAGGATATTTTTTTGTATTCAAATTAAATGATTTTTACTTTACTTTAAATCATAAAATGATTTACTTGAAAGCTAATAAAATTACAATGCTGCAAACTTGTTATAATAATTACATAAAGTCACGTGACACCTTATGATATTTTTTGTACTTAAATTAAATGACTTTTACTTTAAAAAAGATTGGAAAATTTACAGATAAGTGGAAAACCTTTATAGAAACTCAAAGAAAATATCAAAAAGTTAAGCAAAGAAATGTTCCATCTCTTATTTCACTTCTTATGGGAAAGAAAATAGTTGCTCATTTTGTTGCCTATGAGACAATTCTCGTATTATTAAAAATAGCAAGAAATGAGCGATTTATTAAATATTTATTTTTTATTCACGATTTCAGCAAATTTTATATATAATATGGCAGCAGATTTTATATTGTTCGAAATTAATTAAAGAAAAGTATTAGTTAAGCATTCGACATATTTGATGATGCAAAATTGCTTATACATACTTAAAGTGACATAAAGTAAAATTGAATAATGAAATATTAAGATGAATAATTTTAGTATTAGTAGTAATGGTACTATTGCTTCATTATTTATGACAAATGTTCAACGAAATAACCTTATAGTAAATTGTAAATTAATAAAAATGCAATATTGCCAAATCAGATATATGCAATTAGTGTCATAAATCTATACAAATTTCATTATTTCGAATAGTAAGACAATTCATACAAAGAAAATTAAATTTCGCAAAGAAGTAGTAAAATTGCTTATAAGTAAGACGTAATGTAGTTCGAAATATATTAAACAAATGTGATAAGAAAACATGACAAATTACATTTTTTTATTGTGAATGAAACATTTTTTTCCCATGAAAGTTGCAAAATAGAATGTTTATTTATAATGCATATATGATGTGAATAAAATTTTGTATTATGATGAATTATTTTCGTAGATAAAAACTGTTTGTAGAAATTGTGAAAAATGATTGAGACGATTAATAATTTCTTCCTATTTTATATTTTTCTTAAATATAATTTTATCTGAATAAAATGAAATTTATAAATTATTGTGAAGTTTACGTTATTACCGATCATCAACATAGCAGTGTTCAAACTTGTTATCGGTATTATACACATTTTTTAAATTATATTTCTATTAATCTCGATTTTCTCGACATATTATGCAGCTATTATTTATTTTCTTTGCTAAATTATTTAATACGAGCGTATTTTTCTTATATATGCGTGAAAAATTTAATTATTAAAATTTAGTTATTACTTGCCAACAACAGGTGGCAGCACCGTCTAACTTTCAGGAGCAATTTGTAAAACTGTTATCTGCTTAAAAAGTTTTTTAGTAATGCATTATTAATTATAATGTAGCGAAATATTAGCTATATGCACTTCCTTGCGAAGAAGGCAAAACGTTCCTGCAATTATTTAAACATTTTTAAAATTCGCAATCGATAAAATGGTTTGAATACTTGCTAAAGTTTACTGAAATTTCGTAATGCAATTAGTTTATATATTTATATTCACGAAGGAATTTTACATCGATTATTATTCTATTTATACTTATTATTATTATATTACAAATAACACATATTACATTTTTATATAATAGTTATATTATAATAACAGAAATTATAAAAATATAAAAATTATAGTTTTATAGAAATATAAATGAGATAAGAGCTGAATTTTATTACGTTCATATAAAGTATTAATTAATGTTTAAATATTTAACGAACTTAATAAATTGTATATTCTTAATTTAAATTTGTCGAGTAGGTATTACTAATATTACGTTTCAATACTCTGTTTTGACATGAAGGAAGATTTTACAATAATTTTATATGCAACTTCAGTGTATTTAAACAATTTATATACGATAATAATAAATAAGAATTTTTCAAAAGTGCAAAAGCTTTTTTTAAAAAAATTGATAATTATTAATAATTATACATAATTGTAAGTGAATATGGATAATAGTAAGTGGGAAAAACAAAAAGAAATTCTTTTCACCATACATACTTTTAAAAGACATCGAACAAATTTTTCAAAAATTTACATTAACGCAATTTAATATTTGATTCTTTCACTGTACGAAAATTATATTATAAATAATAGTAAAATTACAGTTAATTCTTTGTTTTATTCATTTCACCTAAATTTAAAAGAATTATAAAAGTACGAAAAATTCTGGTGTCAAAATTCTGATATTGCAGTTTCATACGAAAATTACAATTATAAAAAATTAAAAAATTATTCAAACTGATGCTATACAATATTTCGAGGTAATGTATCCATCTATACAATTATTGAAATATATATTAAATATTTGGTAATTAAAATTATTTCATTCAGTCCTTGTAAACAATTTGATCAAAATAGAAATTTGGAAAATACTGTAAAAAGTTTGTATGAAAAATCCATATTTATACAAGTCTTTACAATGTCACTAATTTTTTCTGTTTAAACAAACAAGACACTCGTTGTCAAACATCTTATGAACATAATTGTTTTATAATTGCTTTGTTTTGAACATATTAAATACCATTTTCATAAATATTTCGATATTTACGTTTAAGCTATCTTTAGTAGCTCTTTAGCAAATACTTTAATTGCATAAGTTAATAAGAATTCGAAGGTGAAACAAATCAGAAGCAATTATTACTCATTATTGAAAATATTCATTATTGTCAATACGAATAATTATTTCGCCTAGATAATATTTCTAGCGTACAGTCATACTGTATTGAATGTCCCATTTGAAACGAGCCACTTACATAATTACCTTCTCCAGTTATGATAATACGACAAATATTTTGTATATAATTTGAAATAATCTCGACAGTGACCATGCTGGTAACAGAAACCTTTGTTAAAGCGTTATTTTCCTTGAAATAATCTTGATTATAATTCTGGTTAACAATCTTGAATTATTAAAATTGATATTAATACTAATTCATGCGTGCATAATATTATATAAAATAGCCTTGACTTCAGAAATTTAGATATAACGAAGAAGAAAAAAAATTTGTGAATAGTAGTAAACATGTTTACTATCATACTACAGATAATTTAAAAATCTGAGTGTTATCAACTTTCCGATATAAATCCATTAATGTATCGATAATTTTTTGAAGGAAATTATTAGAAAATTGTACGATAAAAATATTTACATACGCATATTTACGAGTTATTGTATATTAATTCAGAGACTCGAGAAATTCGAAGAAATAAATTTTATACTTTGTTTCACATTCGAATGTTCAAGATCATTTTTAAATTATATTTCACGTATATTAATCGATATTAATGTCAACTATGGTTTTTACGCGAAATTAAAACGTATACGAGATAAAATATTTGAAGGTATTCCTCGAAACGTAGAAAAAGAGGTGTTACAATCACTGAAATTGAGAATAAAGTACTTTCCATGTCGTCGCAACCAGAGAAGGCAATTACATAAGTGTCTTTTTTTAAGCGAAACAACTTATATAACTGTTCATACTACGTGACAGTTTTTCAAGGAATTTTAGGGTACACGGAGGTGCACGTAGGTATATGTAATCACTTTGTCACAGGAGGTAAGGGAGAAACGGTCGGGAAAAGTATTTTTCTATCAAATCCGATTATACGCGTCGCAACAACCCGTAGAAGATGTTACCAGTCGTGCAGTCAGCGCACGATTGAACCTCGGTGCGTCGCGGGAACGGTTGCGCACGGAGCGTGTGCGCATGCCGCGCATGCGTGTTGCGAAAGTGGTGCTACAGTGGCGCCAGTAATGGCGGCGGAAAACACGCGCGCACGCCAGCACCGCCGCCGGTTTGTTTCTCCACGCCTCTACCTCGCCTCCACCACCGCCACCGCCACCGCCACCGTTCTCACGACTCGTGGGTAAGTACCCTCACACTCCAATCAGTCTGCACTCGCATGTCCACGAGGTTGCTCGTACGGGCCTGGCGCCTTCCTCTTGTACTCACCCCTCTCTTGCACCTGGCTCACCACGTTTAGTGCATTACCAGAGACCCGTACCCGGGTGACCGAGCCACTAGTTGAGGTACTCGTCGGGTATTATCATTCGTCGAGAGGTTAGGTCAGAGTGACCTGTCGTGGCGGGATTATATGACTCGTTTGAATTTGAATTCGCCCGCGTCGCATAGTTTCGTCGATTATCGTTCGGCTGCATTTTAATACGTTTTCACGTGCTTAACGAGTTTCCAACCACACGTTCGGACAGCTGTCAAACGCGTGCACGGTTTATCGGAGGTTTACGCGAGCGTCAACCGCGTGACAACCGCGCGTTGAGGTTAGGTTGTTCGCCGTCTAACGCGCCTTTTTCGAATAGATTGCTCGGCACGTTATTCGGTAATCGATTTATACGGATATTAGTGCGAAGGAACTGCTGGTGATAAGAACACGTTTCCTAAGCGACGGATAAGAACGATGAGATCCGTGGAAATAGAGTGAATGTTTTCGAACGGTCGTATTTCGTGCAGTGACTTCTTTGGTGTACAGCAAAATGTACGCGTGATGGTGATTAATATATACGCATATACACGAACCACACACACGCACACACACGTATAAGCGCAGAAATATACACGCATTTTTATTTTTCGCCGATCATGAAATATTGACAAGTGATCGAAACAAGGTTAGCCTGTTGCGTCGTTCCGTTGCGAGTGTTCTCTTTTATCATACGTACACGCTTCGTCCTCAACCGTTCCAGTCGTTTCTAATATTTTCTCCGCTCGTTTATTTCAATTATTTCAATTACATCTTACTCGATCGCTATATTTTTCATTTCTCTTTTTCCTTTCTATCTTTTTACCCATATCATTTTGAGTTCGTATAAGTATATCGAAATTTTAAAATATAAACGATTATTTCGATCGATTTCGCGAAATATTACGAGATTCTTCGTTCGATTTGTAAAATTCGCGAAATGGACCTGTGGTGCGATTTTTCTCCGCTCATTTACTTCAATTATTTTAATTACATCTTACTCCATCGCTATATTTTTCATTTTTCTTTTTTTTTTCTATCATTTCACCGATATCGTTTAGAGTTCGAATAATTATATCGAAATTAAAGTATAGACAATTATTTCGATCATTTCCACGAAATATTACGAAATTCTTCGTTCGATTTGTAAAATTCGCGAAATTAGCGTACGGGTTTATCGATTGCTCGCGAAAATAAGCCTGCTTAGCAATTTTTCTCTGCAGCTTCATTTCAATTATTTCAATTACATCTAACAATCACTATATTTTTCTTTTTCTCATTTTTCCTTCTTTTCATCGATATCCTTTAAAATTCGGATAATTACATCGAAATTAAAAGACAAACGATTATTTCGATCGTTTCCGCGAAATTTTACGAAATTCTTCGATCGATTCGTAAAATTCGCGAATTATCGATCGCTCGCGATAATGGAATTTCAATTACTTCAATTACGTCTTATTTAATCACTATATTTCTCATTTTTCTTCTTTTTCCTTCCTTTTTATCGATATCGTTTAAAATTATGTCGGAATTAAAATGTAAACGATCATTTCGATCGTTTCCTCGAAATATTACGAAATTCTTCGATCGATTCGTAAAATTCGCGAATTATCGATTGCTCGCGGTAACGGGCTTGGATTTCTTGGGAAGAAAATTCGCGAGGTCCCGTGGAAATAATCGTTTGTTATTCATCGGGAAGAAACGAATAATTAACCGGAAATAATTGATCGATAGCGTGCGCGATTTAACGAGTATATCGGCGCGCGATTATCGCGGTGGACACGGCTAGCCGCGTTAATTGTAACGTGGAAAATCGAGACGGCCACTGTTCGCAAAATAAATTTCAAGCCATAAAATTCCGCAACTTTCTCGAATTTCCATCTTGCCGCTGCAAATTCAGCGGTAAGTAATATTATTGTGCAACGTAACGCGGCCCGTAATTAAATTTCGTTGCCGATCGTGTGCAACTCGATGAAAATTCGTCGGGCGATTATGCTGGACACTCGCAACACTCGCAACACTCGCAAAATATACTCGCGGGGATTTTTCGTTCGATTCCCGAGAATTTCTTTTCGACGGCTTCCGACGCGCGCCTTCCTCCTCCGTGTATTTGATCTAACGAGAATGAAAAGCTGCCACGACCGCGATCGATGCAGTCGCTCGTGGATCAAATTCGATAGCTCTCGTTGAAAGACAAGAAGCAGTGGAAATTGAAGTCATTTGACGGTCGAGTCATTAACTATATCGTGTTCGATTGTCTCGAAAAGTTACGATTACTAGCATTGCGTTAGGTTCTCTATTGTCTCCCGATTTTTTCGGTTTTGGTAAGGAATATATGCTTGGAACAAGTACTGGCACACTGTGTTGCACGAAAATTTGCTTAACTGGGAGATTCTACTTCAAATTTCTTTATTTCGATGAAAATATAGGAGTATATTCGTTAGGAGAGATTGTAGGTAGTATCGTTGTATGAGGATGAAATCAGAGGTGGAATTTAGAGTACTTCTTTTTAAATATTTTTATAGTTACGAGTTTGCTATAGTATGGGATTCGAGGATTGTTTAACTTTTAATGCTTTGACAGTCTATGGTAGGGAAAATTTTAGAAAATGATTGGAATCAGTTTGTGGTAGTATAGGATTCGAGGATTGTTTCATTTTTAATGCTTTATCTGTCTATCGTTGTAAAAATATTGGAAAATGATTGGAATTAGTTTGTGGTAGTATAGGATTCAAGGATTATTTAACTTTTAATGCTTTGACAGTCTATGGTAGGGAAAATTTTAGAAAATGATTGGAATCAGTTTGTGGTAGTATAGGATTTGAGGATTGTTTCATTTTTAATACTCTGTCAGTCTATCGTGGAAAAAACTTTGAAAATTGATTGGCACCAGTTTGCGATAGTATAGGATTCGAGAACTGTTTAATTTTTAATATTCTATGAATTTATCGTTGTAAAAATTGTGGAATATGAGTGAGATCAGTTTGTGATAGTATAGGATTTGAGAAATGTTTCATTTTTAATGCTCTGTCAGGCTATCGTTGTAAAAATTTCGTAAAAGGATTAAAATTACTTTGTGATAGTATGGGATTCAAGGATTGTTTGATTTTTAATGCTCTGTCAGTCTATCGTAGAAAAAATTTCATAAAATGACTAAAATTACTTTGTGATGTTATGGGATTCGAGGATTGTTTGATTTTTAATGCTCTATCAGTCTATCGTGGAAAAAACTTTGAAAATTGATTGGCATCAGTTTGCGATAGTATAGGATTTGAGAACTATTTAATTTTTAATATTCTATAAATTTATCGTTGTAAAAATTGTGGAATATGAGTGGAATCAGTTTGTGATAGTATAGGATTTGAGAAATGTTTCATTTTTAATGCTGTGTCAGGCTATCGTTGTAAAAATTTCGTAAAAGGATTAAAATTACTTTGTGATAGTATGGGATTCAAGGATTGTTTGATTTTTAATGCTCTGTCAGTCTATCGTAGAAAAAATTTCATAAAATGACTAAAATTACTTTGTGATGTTATGGGATTCGAGGATTGTTTGACTTTTAATGCTCTATCAGTCTATCGTTGAAAAAACTTTGAAAATTGATTGGCATCAGTTTGCAATAGTATAGGATTCGAGAACTGTTTAATTTTTAGTACTCTGTCAGTCTATCATTGTAAAAATTTCGTAAAATGATTGGAATTACTTTGTGTTAGTATGAGATTCGAGAATTGTTTGATTTTTAATGCTCTGTTAGTCTATCGTGGAAAAAATTTTGAAAATTGATTGGAATCAGTTTGTGATAGTATAGAATTTAAGAATTGTTGAGTTTTTAAAATACTCTTTCTGTCTATTGCTGTAAAAATTGTGGAAAATTGATTGGCATCAGTTTGCGATAGTATAGGATTCGAGAACTGTTTAATTTTTAGTGCTCTGTTACTCTATCGTTGTAAAAATTTTGGAAAATGATAGGAATGAGTTTGCGATGGTATAGGATTCGAGAAATGTTTCATTTTTAACGCCCTGTCAGTCTATCATAGGAAAAATTTTGTAAAATAATTGAAATTAGTTTGTGATAATATAGGATTCCAAAATTGTTTAATATTGAATGCTCTGTTAGTCTCTCGTGGAAAAAATGTTAGAAAATGGTTGGAATCAGTTTGTGATAGTATAAGATTTGAGAATTGTTTAATTTTTAATACTCTATCTTGGACAAATTTTGGAAAATTATTAAAATCAGTTTGTGGAAATATAGGATTCGAGAATTGTTTAATTTTTAATATTCTGTCAATCTATCGTTTTAAAAATTTTGAAAAATTATTAGAATCAGAGCATGAAAGAATAGTTAGACCTCGAGGATCTATTCAGTTTCTTTAACCCTTTATATTGCTATGACGAGTCAAATTCGTCTCGATTTCCACGTCAAATCTCGTGAATACCAGCTGCACTAATCACCCAATCATAATTACATTTCATGCATTTCATTTCGAGGTGAATAAAGTTCCAAGAATTTGTCGTAGTCGGAATAGTTATTCAGTGGTTACCTAAAATCAAATACTACTTCGATGTATACTTCTTTATAATTAAATTTTTCGTCCATTACAAATTTGCTTTATGTAGAATTGATTATGTCATACGTGTACGCAAATTTTCGTAAAAATAAAAATTCTTGGATTAGGTGAATTTCCTTGTAATATAGAGTCACGATACTTGTTTCGAGCACTGTACCTATGTTTCATGCGCGATTAGAAACTTTCAAATGTAAAATTTTTCACAAGCATTTAACCATCTTTGTTCGAATTTCTTTGTATAGATCTGTTGGTTTCGTCCCTTTTACGCGTAGAATACAGGTCAGAATACATTGTTTTCGATCTATATTGTACAGTATAAAAGCAGCCTACATGTAAAGCTTGTAAGCACTATTCGAAAGTATTTGTTCAATTTTTGTATAGATTTGTTGATTTGATTCGTTTAACGTATAGAATACAGGATAGTATACACGGTTTTGTATCTGTACAATACAAAGTTTGCTACTTGTTTGACAATTTTCATTTAATTATAGACTGTTCTTATAGATTTGTCAATTTAATTCTTTCAACGTGAATAGAATTCGAGATTTTTCTACGTGTTTGTATACACTATTAAAAAGATTGAAATACAATATATATCGTGTTTCAAAAAATTTGGATTTGTCCATTTGTCGATTTAATACTTTTAACGTGAATAGAATTCCAAATTTTCATATTTGTTCGTACACATTACAAAATAGATTTAAATACAATGTACATTATGTTTCAAAAAATTTTTGTTCATGGATTTGTCGATTTAATACTTTCAACGTGAATAGAATTCGAAATTTTCACGTGCTTGTATACATTACTAAATAGATTTAAATACAATGTATATCGTGTTTCGAGAAATTTGGATTTATCCATTTGTCGATTTAATACTTTCAACGTGAATAGAATTCCAAATTTTCACGTGCTTGTATACATTATTAAATAGATTTAAATACAATGTATATCGTGTTTCGAAAAATTTCTGTTCATGGATTTGTCGATTTAATTCTTTCAGTGCGAATAACACGCACGGTTTTGAGTGCGTGTGTACCGCAAAAATAATTAAATACAAACTTTATAATACACATTCAAAAATTTCTGCAAATTCGTTCCTTTTCTTATTTTTATTTTACTTGCTAATTAAATTTTGTCAACGTGTATAGAATATACAGTTTCGTATTAGAACACGATATATATATTTTTCCTTTTTCTATTCAAATTGTTAATAAATTAGAAACGAACCTAAAAGAAATTTGCAATAGTATTTGTTCAATTTCGAAGAGAGACGAAATTTTAATATTTCAATGAAATTTTTAATGCGTTTAAAATCCAGATTACCGTGTATTTTGCAAACCGAGGAACTCCATAAAAACGAAATTGAATTAAAAACCAAAATCCTTCTGTTCCAAGGAAATTTTGAAGCCCGTCGAATAAAGGAAGTCGAGGAATCGAATGAGTCCAAAATTTGAATTTACCATACATTTTATACCTAAACATAATTTTTAAATCTCGATACATCATTTTTATGGAATTATGTTTCAAATTTGTATTTAAATACATCACTACACATACACATTCGTAAGTACCGTTTTGCACCAGTCGAACGTCTTCCAGTTATTTCTTACCTGTTTTGCAATTTTTTAATTGAATTTTAAAACGAAGATTTAAATACCTAAAAATTTCTTTTAACTCGAAATGTTATATTTAGATTGCCATAAGTGGATATGCTCCGTTCTGAGATGTCAAACGTTACGTTATCAAAATGAACCCCAACAGGGTTCAATTCTCCATTTTGCAAAAATTGGCTGACGTTATTGTTACGCGAATAAACGACACAGAAATTAAACCATAAATTCGTTTCTTTTAGACTTCTCATTCGAGCAATTTTCGTAAGAATCTCAACGATATTTCTGTATTTAAATTTTACTTTATTTGAATATCTGCTTGAACATTTCGCAGGAAATAGAAGCCAGTTGAACAATTAATTTATACTCGTTATACTCATTTATACGCATACTAAATTATTCAACTTTGCATTGCCGAGAAAGTTCCATTGATCAATATTCTCCTGAGTTTACACACGGTATCATTATTAATACCATTTTCAACGATGAAGTGACATAAATGAAAGTGCTCTTACGATTTTACAATTTTATGAAATTGTTCTTAGTGATTTTCAAGAAGTCGGTGAATTTCAAACTATTTTTATCACAAATTTGACGAGAAGAAGGTCTAGATTCAAATAATTCGAGACAGACACAATTTTTACAACGTTAATACACGCAGATCGACAAAACTTTTTCAAAATTTGCGAAACTCGTGCTATAGTATTTCAGTTATTTTTTAAACCGGTGTATTATCTTTGTATTTAACTAAAACACGAGCAAAACAATGTCATTTTACGATCTTTAAGAAAGCTGCCACTTTTGTAGAACTCTGACAAATATTATTTCAAAAATGACAAAATTCAAAAATTCGCGAATTTCAATTATTTTTCAAATCACTACACTATCCCTGTATTTAATTAAAATCATGATTTACTCCTACACAAGTGACGCAAAACACTGCCATTTCGCGATCTTCAATAAAGCAGCAACTTTCGCAAAACTCAGACGAATATTTCAAATTCGAGAAAATTCGAAAATTGGCGAATTCCAGTTATTCTTCAAACCACTACACTATCCCTGTATTTAACTAAAACCGTGATTTAATTGAACACGAGTAACGCAAAACTCTGTCATTTCGCGATCCTTAACAAAGCAGCCACTTTTGCAAAACTCGGAGGAATATTATTGCAAGAACGAGAAAATAAAAAAATTCGCGAATTCCAATTATTTTTCAATCCACTACATTATCCCTGTATTTAATTAAAACCACGATTTACTCGTACACAAGTGACGCAAAACACTGTCATTTCGCGATCTTTAACAAAGCAGCCACTTTTGCAAAACTCAGAGGAATGCTATTTCAAAAACGAGAAAATCCAAAAATTCGCGAATTCTAGTTATTCTTCAAACCTCTATACTATCCCTGTAATTAACTAAAATCGTGATTTACTTGAACACGAGTAACGCAAAACACTGTCATTTCATGATCCTTAGCCACTTTTGCAGAACTCGGACAAATATTATCTGAAAAACGAGAAAATCCAAAAATTCGCGAATTACAGTTATTTTTCAAGCCACTACACTATCACTGTATTTAACTAAAACCATGATTCACTTGAATAGGAATAACACAAAACACTGTAATTTTGTGATCCTTACTTAAGCAGTCACTTTTGCAAAACTCAAAAGAATATTGTTTCAAAAATGAGAAAATTCAAAAATTCGCCAATTCCAATTATTCTTCAAACCACTACACTATTCCCGTATTTAACCAAAACCATGATTTACTCATATATAAGTGACGCAAAACACTGTCATTTTATGATCCTTAGCCACTTTTGCAAAATTCAGAGGAATATTATTTCTAAAACGAGAAAATCCAAAAATTCGCGAATTCCAATTATTTTTCAAACCACTACACTATCCCTAAATTTAACTAAAACCGTGATTTACTCGTGCACAAGTGACGCAAAACACTGTCATTTCGCGATCCTTAACAAAGCAGTCACTTTTGCAAAACTCAGAAGAATATTATTTCAAAAATGAAAAAATTCAAAAATTCGTGAATTCCAATTATTCTTCAAACCACTACACTATCCCTGTATTTAACTATAATCGTGATTTACTCGAAAACGAGTAACGCAAAACACAGTTGTTTCGCGATCCTTACCGAAGCAGCCACTTTTGCAAAACTCAGAAGACTATTATTCCGAAAACAAAAATTCGCGTATGGTTTTCCACCACGGTGTATCAAGAAAGGAGCTACGTTACGATGTCTGGAGAGATGTTCGAACGGCCATAAACGGTACTTAAGAAGGCAAGACACATGTGACACGCAGTTGGCCTCGGCGTCGCGACGTCGCGACGTATTCGAGCTAGCCTCGGTATCCTTCCGACGCGTCTCGTCTGCAAAATCGGTACACGTGAGACGGAGGTCCAAGGAAGATTGAAAAATGGAACACGCCGATATCTGTTCTAGATGGATAATTCTGCGTATGTGCCGAATCATCTACCGCCGCCATCCCTGGTCGTGTTTTCACAGGCCGGGGGGCTGCCGGAGGCTCTGAGAATGCAAAGACCCTTCAATCCACAAGTTAGTGTCCTATTATCCTTACCTGTACGCCTAAGCCTGCGTTTGCTTGCACCCCTGCCTGTTTACCTAACCGACAACCTGGTGAAAATAATATTTCCGACGAGACGATTAGCTTCTGCTCTCATGCTCGTTTCCTTCTTCAGACTCTGTGTGTCCTCTGTGTTCTTCATCTAACCCTTTGCACACCACGGGCGACCTCCAGTCGCCATTTAACGCTAGAACTACCGATCTTTAGTGGGCACCTATAAACATAACGTGCACAGATTATAGTAATCTCAGCGATTACTATAAATACGAGTGAATATATTGATTATAGTACTTTGTTAATGTCAGTTGGTACCAATTTTATTCTTAAATTAGGTGCATGTGTTCAGTAATTGCGAAAAGAAAAATTCTGGGACCAGTCATTTTCACTGGGCTGGTAGTTCTAGTGTTAATACAATTCTGAAGACGTATTAAATGCGTGGACCAAGTGGAATATCGAAAGGAAGTAATTCCACGCATCGATTTATGTTTCTTATAATTTATATTTCTTATTTAACCACTTACGCTGGAAACACGTGTCACGCACGTCGTAATGTTTTTGTGCCACAACCGCCAACGACGTGGTACACACGTCGTCAGGCAATTGTCACAGAAACACCGTTCTGGCACACACGTCTGTGAGTTTCTTGTCAGTGCAAGTGGTTAATATATTGAAAAGATATTTTAATAGCTTTCCTGTAGAGTGCAAAGGGTTGGAAGTAGTATTTCGAATATTTTTCTTTACATTTTTCTGACTAATTTTACCAAGATTTCGATATTTCTTCTCGTTGTAAATGTTATTTTCAGCCTTTATTTAAAATCGGTGAAACGAAGGTGGTGCTTGGAATTGACATGTTTAAAGCGGATTTCGTATCGTACGCGAAATTTCGCTGGTTTGTCTTTCGTCGACGGGACATGGGACTTTTGCTCGCTCGCTGCCAGCCATTTTGTATCTGCCTCTATTTCCAATATAAATTTCTTGCGTCGTGTGATATCTCGTTTTTCGTGTTATTAATTAATTAGAAAGGGGATTAGAGGCAAGAATTTCTTTAAAGAATCGAGCAAACGTGTTTTGGGAAAATTAAAATCGCATTGTTTCGTCGAATATTTGTTATAGGAAATATTTCTTGCAAAATTCGCACGTGGGAAACGGAGATATTCGTGATAGGGGTAAAGGAAAGTGGAAAATTGAGAAGAATTTTCCGTGGAACCGCGAAATGTTTGATAAAATGTTTGGTAGTGTTTGGTATTTATACTTTTCATAATTTATGGGGAATTCATTTTCCTAGCGGTATATCATAGCGAGTGATAAAAGGGTGCTGACCGATCTTTATGCCTGGAAAAATGTCAATTTCAATGGACCAACTACAGTCGCGATCGTTTCGACCGCTAGCCGCTTTATGCACACCAATGGTAATTAATGCACGCTTTGAATAGGGATTTCGCTGAATGTGTGTGGGCGAATGTAGATGCATGCGCTGGGCGTAGTGTGCAAGTCGTAGCGGACAATCAATTATTTTACAATAAGGGTTTAAAGAAAGGCTATTAAATAACCGAATTCGCCATACCGCCCGAATTGTCGTAAGTATCGAACGTATTTGCGTATTTGCATTATGTCATCCGAATTTTCCTCGTAATTATTATATTACTCTTATATCGCTGTGTAAATAAATATTTTATTCGTCTCTATATTCCTAGGTAAATAAATATTTTATTGGATTAAGCATTTCTGTCGTTGAAAATTGAAAATTTTCACGAGGTGGTAAATTCTTTGTTTGCTAGGTTGAAAAATTACTTGTCGCAGTGAAAGAATATTTAATAATTTTTATAAATAATCGCGAAGTCACCCAAATTTTTCTTGTAATTATTATATTACTCTTATATCGCTGTGTAAGTAAATATTTTATTCGTCTCTATATTCCTAGGTAAATAAATATTTTATGGGATTAAGCATTGCTGTCGTTGAAAATTAAAAATTTTCACGAGATAGGAAATTCTTTGTTTGCTAGGTTGAAAAATTACTTGTCGCAGTGAAAGAATATTTAATAATTTTTATAAATAATCGCGAAGTCACCCAAATTTTTCTTGTAATTATTATATTACTCTTATATCGCTGTGTAAATAAATATTTTATTCGTCTAAGCATTTCTGTCGTCTAAATTTGAAAATTGTCACGAGGTGGGAAATTCTTTGTTTTCGAGGTTGAAAAATGACTAGTCGTAGTTAAAAAATATTTAATATTTTCTATGAATAATCGCGAAGTCACCCGAATTTTCCTTGTATTTATTATGTTACTCTTATTTCGCTGTGTAATTTCCATGAGATGGGAAATTCTTCGTTCGCGAGGTTGAAAAATTACTTATCTCAGTGAAAAAATATCTAATAATTTTCTATGAATAATCACGAGGTCATCCGAATTTTCTTTGTAATTATTATATTACTCTTATATCGCTGTGTAAATAAATATTTTATTCGTCTACGCATTTTTATCGTCTAAATTTGAAAATTTCCACGAGGTGAGAAATTCTTCGTTCGCGAGGTTGAAAAATTACTTATCGCAGTGAAAAAATATCTAATAATTTCTATAAATAATCGCGAAGACATCTGACTTTTCCTCGTAATTTTTATATTACTCTTACATCGCTGTGTAAATAAATATTTTATTCGTCTACGCATTTTTATCGTCTAAATTTGAAAATTTCCACGAGGTGGGAAATTCTTCGTTTGCTAGGTTGAAAAATTACTTGTCTCAGTGAAAGAATATTTACTAATTTCTATAAATAATCGCGAAGTCATCCGAATTTTACTTGTAATTATTATATTATATCGCTGTGTAAATAAATATTTTATTCGTCTCTATATTCCTAGATAAATAAATATTTTATTCGTTTAAGCATTTCTGTCGTCTAAATTTGAAAATTATTACGAGGTAGGAAATTCTTTGTTCGCGAGGTTGAAAAATTACTTATCGCAGTGAAAATAAATTCGTGGAGAATTTTTCCAAGAAGTTGATATTTCTAAGAATAATCGGGAAAATAAGTTATACTGATTTTTTAAATTTTGGATCTCACGTGGTAATCTAAAATTTTCTTGAATTATTCTCAGATTTGATAATTATCACGAACTAGAATTGTTGAAATTTCTGTTTCCACAAAAATGAAGAATTACTCGTTAACAAATGAAGCGAATATATTTGTATATTACAAACCCTAGTTAACAATGATTTAATTTACTATAGTGACCCAAAGGAAAGCATTATACCATATTGTTAAAATATTTTGAAAATTCTTTAATTACCGTAAAGTGGAAAATTAAAGTTTCCATTTCTATCTATTTCTCTTCAAGGTTAAATTATCACTGCAGATCATACGTGAGTGAACGATCGATTATTTTATTATAGCAATCAAAATAAAGATTATTAAAATCATCCTAACTGTCACATAACTCATACTGTATACTCGTAAAAATTGATATCTAATTTATTTTTCATTTCCCACATTTACATAAGAAAATGCAAAATATTCTTAAAATTTTCTTGAAATTCGAAAACTTTTTCGCCACGAAGTGGAAAAATTCAAGTATTTATAAAATTACTTCTGTAAATCGGATATCCCTGCATATGATAAATCTTAATCCACGATCAGTTATTTGAAAACAGGAATTCGAAGAAAGTCTACTAAATAATCAAATTTGCTAGACGAGATAAATTTTCATAAATATTGGATATTTTTGCATCGTGTCACTCGAATTTTCTTCCTCACTGTCACATTTCTTGTCCTATCGACATAAATCGTTTAATTAATTTTTATTTCTATTTTCCATAACATTTCTAAAATATTTTCCAAATCAAAAAATCACGTAAACATGTAAAAGTTGTCATTACAATTATTCCAAGGATAAAATACTACCTGTCAATGAATAAATTGAACTTACTCGCTCAAACGACATAATCTTTCATAAATATCGTATATATTTGTATTATGTCACTCGAATTTTCCTCGTTACTGTCACATTTCTTGTCCTATTGACATAAATCGTTTAATTTTTATTTCTAGTTTCTGTGATATTTTCAAAATATTTCTCGAAGCCAGAAAATTATCTCGTCGTGAAAAAATCGCTATTTATATTCCTGGAAGGTTAGAAAATTACTTGTCAATGTACAAATTGAACATAATTTCTCAGACGACATAATCTTTCACGAGTGTCATATATATTTGCATCTTCCTTCCTCACTGTCACATTTCTCGTCCTATCGACATAAATCATTTAATTAATTTCTATTTTTCGTCCCTTTAATATTTCTAAAATACTCTTGAAACGAGAATAAATCGGCATTTCTCTCTTCCAAGCTTAGAAAACTACCTGTCAATGTATAAATTGAACATAATCACTCAAACGACATAATCTTTCATAAGCATCGTATATATTTGCATTATGTAAATAAATATTTTATTCGTCTACGCATTTTTATCGTCTAAATTTGAAAATTTCCACGAGGTGGGAAATTCTTCGTTTGCTAGGTTGAAAAATTACTTGTCTCAGTGAAAGAATATTTACTAATTTCTATAAATAATCGCGAAGTCATCCGAATTTTACTTGTAATTATTATATTATATCGCTGTGTAAATAAATATTTTATTCGTCTCTATATTCCTAGATAAATAAATATTTTATTCGTTTAAGCATTTCTGTCGTCTAAATTTGAAAATTATTACGAGGTAGGAAATTCTTTGTTCGCGAGGTTGAAAAATTACTTATCGCAGTGAAAATAAATTCGTGGAGAATTTTTCCAAGAAGTTGATATTTCTAAGAATAATCGGGAAAATAAGTTATACTGATTTTTTAAATTTTGGATCTCACGTGGTAATCTAAAATTTTCTTGAATTATTCTCAGATTTGATAATTATCACGAACTAGAATTGTTGAAATTTCTGTTTCCACAAAAATGAAGAATTACTCGTTAACAAATGAAGCGA